CTCAGTCAGTTAAGCGTCTGCCTTTGGCTCAGGTCATGATCCCGGGGTCCCAGGATCGGGGTCCTGGGATCCAGCCCTGAGCCGTGGGCTCCCTGCTCAGCAGGGAGCCTGCTTCTCCCTCTCTGTCTGCCCCTCCCCCCGACTCATGTTCTCTCTCCCTCGCTCTGCGCTCTCTCTCTCTGTCAAATTAAAAAAAAAAAAAATCTTAAAGTAAGCCTTGGGAAATCCAAGAGTTTTCCAAAAAAGGGTTCTAAGAAGGTCCTACAAGTGATTCTTAGGCTGTTCCAAAATGTAAGCAAGGCATATAAACATCTGAGTATAGCTTATGGTCAGCACCTGAAGAAAGAATAAGGAATTACTTTTTCTGAAATAACTATTACTTAGACACTATACAACTGACACTTAAGAATATTCATATATTCAGGTATATATTCCTTTCTTTGCCTAACTGATTTGCCAGGGCAAGAGTAGGGTGGGTCAAAAGATTTTTCCCTGAAGGGCAAGTTTGGGGGATTTTTGTTGTCAGATGTGTGTGGTTGGCAAGCTGACACAAGTTAGATAGCTGGTCTCTGTCTCTCTTGCTCCATGAACTTGTTTACTGACGAAAAACATTTAAAAATTGACCTCATTTGACTCACTTCATCTAATTAAGGTTTTTGTCTTTATATTCTGTAAACATCCATTGCATCACTCATGGAGGAAAAAGAGGTCAAGGTTGCTAAGCATTAATGTTTTCTTTCGTTAAATGACACCTACTTATTACTGTGAGCCCTGGGAGTTAATACCCCATTTCCAGCTGGAGTCTGAAAGAAATCATCTCTGGTATCTCTGATGAAAAATTACAAATAAGTGGGCCCCAGACTCAGGTATCATAAATACAGATCTAGTTAAATTGATTATACTTTTCACATACAAGGAAAAACATCGAACTCAATGGTAAGCAACTTGACCATTAAATGACATATCTAAATAATCAGAAATTTGATAATTTCCCTAAATCATTGACCAAAATAAGAGATTTGTTCTCAATATTACATAGATGTACTTGCATAGCTGTACTAAGGGAGAAAAGCATAAAAAGTAATTCGAAATCCATTATATTTGGCTCTAAAGTCAGAGTGAAAATACGTAACAACATACAATAAGTGAAAAAGAACGTTATCAATAGTATATGAAGGCAAAAAATCCCAATTCGGTGGAGGAAACCTTTTTTTAATAAGATTTTATGTATTTGAGAGAGAGCACGTGAGAGAGAGAGCGCAGGATCTGGGGGGTAGGGGCAGAGGAAGAGGGAGAAACCGACTCCCTGCTAAGCAGGGAGCCTGATGCAGGACTCAATCCCAGGACCCTGGGATCATGACCTGAGCTGAAGGCAGACACTTAACTGACTGAGCCACCCAGGCGCCCCGGAAACATTTCTTATATAAATAAATACTGAATAATTTTCAATATTGAATAAATAAATATTCAATAAATATTGAAATATTTCAATAAATATTGATACTGAAATATTTATCTAATATTTATCTATATTTATATATAGTATATATTTATATATTCATTTATTTAATTCATATATTCCTTTATATATTCATATATTTATATAATATATACATTTTCAGTATTTCAAACAATGTCACACCCTTCCTGTTTGGCTAGAAACTAAATTCAGCATGTTTCCTACACTAATACTAACTTTTTATCCTGATCCTTAAGTCAGATAAAATTTCAATATGAGAAAATATCAGAAATCTGATTTCTTCACTCCTTAGCTTAAAAAGGAGTAGTAAATCAAAAAATGAATAGGAGCATCATCCTTAATCTATATATCAACAGGAAGAAAATCTCAGGATTTGCGATCTTCAGGTTGATACAATCAAATGGAAAGTCTGACTTGCCACCATAATAGAACATATATTCTGTCATGGGTCCCATGAGCTCTGTACAGTGGCTGATGTTGAATGGCTACCTGGGAATCAAAAGCCACCAACACGCTTCCTCCACCAGCCTGCCCACTGTCAGAAGAGAGGGGACATGGGAGTCAGGAGCCAATGCAACTGGCACCTCCCAAGTTTGCGGGTAACCACCACACCACACCACACCCTTCCAATGCCTGTAGTATAGAAACACATCTACCCTCTTCCCTTGGGTGGTTTTAAGACTTTCCAGGAAATGAAAAGTCATTTCATGTTGATATTTATTCAACAAATATATAGTGAGTGCCCACACTGTGCCAGGTACCGAGAATACAGTGGTAGACAAGATGCAGGAGCAATTCAAGGGGTGTCCCCAAGCACCCGCCCTGAATTTTTGCTCCCATCTACCAGCTGTGTTTATATCATATGATCTTACCTTGGTGAATAAAATAGATTCAATCCCTTTCTCAGGACAGCCCAGAAGAGAGAGGGAGACATTCAGTAAGCAACTAAACACACGTGCAGTTACAAATTGGATTAAGGGCCTTGAAGGAAATAAACAAGGTGCAGTCTGCGGGAGTACAGGGGGATGGTACCACACAAGGCATGAATCAGGGGACTTATGCTGAGCCCTCAAGATGAGCAAGCAGCAGTGGGAAGAGCTGTGGAAGGGGGCGGGGGGTACCAGTTGAGAGAACACCAGTTCACGAAGAACCTAGCACATAGTAGCACTCAAAAAAATTCTAAATAAAGAAAAGATGCAAACTATTAGAAAATCTTCATAATTGATGGAAAAACCAAAATTATAATTGTTTCTTCAGCCATAACTAGCTCAAATGTATTCTCTTAAAAATATTAAGTGCTTGGGGGCGCCTGGGTGGCTCAGTTGGTTAAGCGACTGCCTTCGGCTCAGGTCATGATCCTGGAGTCCCGGGATCGAGTCCCACATCGGGCTCCCTGCTCAGCAGGGGGTCTGCTTCTCCCTCTGATCCTCCCCCCTCTCATGTGCTCTCTCTTTCATTCTCTCTCTCTCAAATAAATAAATAAAATCTTAAAAAAAAAAAATATTAAGTGCATTCTGAAGAGTGATGCTCTTTCTCTACCACACTCTAAACATAGCTTAACTCAGGTAATTACAGACGGCAGAACGGAACAGGCATTACAATTCAGGACTGAAATGAGCAATCTGATCCCTTTGCTGATTTCCTGATGAATGTTAGTCATAAACTGAACTTCATCTTTAGAGGCAGTAGAAGGAAAATTCCAGGCACACCGTGGTTACATTATATAAAAAGTATATTTGTGTGTGTGTGTGGGGGGGGGTGTTTCTGCATAAGAGTGTTTATTTTAAAAAGAATGGAAAGCAGCAAGGAAAATCAAAATAGTTGAATTGTTAGGGCAGCAGGATTCTGGGGAATTTTTATTTAAAATTTGAATTCCATGTTATAGTATTTTTTTGAGAAATAAGTAGAAATTTTTTAACAAAGGAATTTTAAGCACCCTACTTTCTATGGCATCCAAATGTAATCTTTGCCTTAGGCTATAGTAGTCAGGGAAGACAAAAATTCAGTTATCTTAGCCACTTTTTCCTTTAAACAGAAGCCCTCCCAAATCCACAGACACATCCAAAACTTCATGTTGCTCTTAGAACTCAGGATAGGAATGTTAGTGCTCCTCTTCCCACCTCCCCATTGCCGTATGTCTGAGTACCCAATGCCCACCAGCAGCTTTCTTGACCCTTTTGGTTTAAAACCTGAGACCACTATTGCAC